AGTATGAGGTTACAGTGTTTAAGGCCAGCTGCTATCTGCATACTTGAACCTCGTGTATATAGTAAATTCTGAATTCAGTGAGCTTATTCTCTGTTCTTGCTGAACCTGAAAATGAAAGCCAGCATTTGTTTTTAAATTACTTTGTACTTTTTTTAGGCCAAATAAACTTATAATCCACTGAGAACGGTTGTATCTGTGGTGTAAAAGTGGTGGGGTAGGACTGGATAGTACAGATGATTAGCAATAGAGTTAAAACCCCTTGTCCTGGTCTGCCTATTAACTTCTGGTCAGTACAGCCATGAACGATTTCAACAGCCGATGGCTGTTCAGTGACCTGTGAAATGAAATGGTTTCAATCTCATTCCTAGTGGACAGGTGTATACATCACACAACTGATCATGACTGGAGATCTCAGTGAAGCCAAGGATGAAATGGGCTGTGGAAAACGACCTGCCCTCTTGCACACCTGTGATTTCACTAGGTTAGTGTTGAGCAGGTGCCATGATCTAAGCTATACCTGTGCTGTGGATAACAGGGAAACCATCCAGTAGGCATCTTTAATACAACTAACAACATTTGTACAATAAAGTGCAGATGTAGTCAAAGTGACACCATATCTTGGATACTGCTTTTGGAACCTTTGAACATGGAAGTAGTGTGTCAGTATTGAAGTGTGTGCCCATCTCAGATAGATGCTGGTGCAGTCTAGATTTAGGCATCAATTCTTGCTGGCCTGGGTTAACTTAATCATTAGAAATGAAGAATGCCTGATCCTTTGCCTGTTGGATTAATTCATCTAAAAGCTAAGGCATCTATTCTGCCCTTCCATGTTCAGTTTCAGAAGTAATTAGCAAGCGGTTCAAATACAGTCGTTCCTCTCATAAGCAATAACTGTATAAAATGCAAAGGGAATATAAATATGGAGTGACAATTTTACCCACCTCTCCAGGAAGTCTAAGAGAAGGCTTCTGGAAATGGAGCCATGTTAAATTACCCCAAGTTCATCATTTACAGGAATTATGGATACACAGAAGGAAGACAAATTAAATGCTGCTGGTGATTACCTGGTCGTGCTTCTGTAGGCAGGGGAAAAATGTCTTGCCTGATTCAGCTGCATTATGTACATCCCTGCTCACTGAAGAGACATGAGAGCTGAGTGAATTACTGTCTGCACAAATCTCATTGGCTGTAGGGATTTCAGTTTAGGAAATATTTAACTTTTTCAGATGTAAAAAAGTGGAAAGAGTTGATGCAGTTTGGCAGAACGATGTGACAAGTTCCTCTTTGGAAAGGGTAGTTCTAGACTGGAATGGAGAGGGAAGCTGTGAATGAGGCCTTTGCATCCAAAGTACAGGTACACTTGGTCTGATTGGTAATGCAAATGAAGACAGCACTAGAAGCAGGTAAGAGAGAGTCAAAGTATTTTATTTAATTAGTTAACCCAGTATTTCACTAAGTCGTTATCAAACTGTACATCACTGGTACGTCGGAGTCTCAATGTATATAGCAACTCCTTAGTACAAGTACAATTATAAACTATGCATTTATTAAATACTATTAATTCCAGGTTGGGACCCTAATCTGCTGCATGCTGTACACACACAGAGTCTTGGCCCCAAAGAGTTTACCAATCTGAATAGAGTAGGCAGACAAGCAAGATATGAAAGGCACTGAACTACTTCCCAAATCCTTCCCCTCTTTCCATGTATTCCAGACAGCCTGCTCTGCCCTTAGCAGCCCAATGTGCCCTCACTTCCATAGCATTTACTACAGGCCCAGTCAGAAGCAAGGGGAACGAACTACACTTGCAGACTAGTCAGTTGTTCAAGGGCTTCCACTGGCACAGTGGCCAGAGCCCTATAGGGTTGGTCTTTGCCCCCATTGTGTCCTCCACTGGGCTCTCCTCGCTGTACATTTTCCCTATTCCCATAGAGGAGAGAAGAGCAGCTTTTGGTGACATCTAGAATCTAGGGTGACTCCCTCTTCTGTAGCAGCTAATGCCTGTTCTCCTCCTTCCACCATCGGCAGCTTCCAGCAGGACCTCCCAGGATTGAATGAAGATGTGGTTGTAGATGTACTCAGCTTTGAGCTAGTTCATGTCTCCCTGGGTTGTTGCTGGAACACATAGGCTGGATGCTACTCCCATTCACGGGCAGCCAACGTTGTACATACCCTGAAGTCCCTGTACACCTACAAATTAAAGATATCTGAAAAGGCAACTAATCTGTCATTGTAGATACTTTTCTGGGTGTACATAGGTGACAAAGGGGTGTTTTAAAAGCTACACTGTAGAATTCCAATCACTTCAATATAATTTGTTTGTAAAATTTACTGGATATGTTCCAGCACACTGATCCTTGAGTGAAAGGTACCCTTATTTTCAAGTGCTTCACAAAACTAAGAAAGGGTTTACCTTGCTTTACAGAGGACCCCCAGAAGATGGGGATTTGCCTGCATTCTCACACTGGCAGATTGGGGAATAGAATCTGTATCTTCTCCTTTAATCACTTTCCTACCCCATTTATCTTATACAACTTTGAACTCCTGTTTGGGCAACAAATATTTTCCATAAATGCTCCAGGAAATATTATTTGGTTTATTCACCTCTCCCTGCTGAGCACAGAGTACAATAAATCCTGTATTGCCCTGGCCTAACATCTGTTTAAATCCTGGAACTTAGTCAGCGTTCTGTTACTCGATTAACTGTATCCCAGGGAACTTGTACTATTGCTAAACTTTAAGCATTTGAATGTCTCCCTCCAAGTATTAGATCAGAATCTTAAAACTGACACATCAACACAATTGCACTTCTCTGACAACTGAGACCAACATTTTCAAAATTGAATTGAAATTTTGAGACACGTTATAGAGTCACAACACTTCTGAAAATGAGGCAGTTTTGAGAGGTATCATATTGGACATCCATCATCACCGGTCACATAACATTTTGCATGGTCTGTCAAGTAACCATATTTCTATAACAAAGGTTAGAACTTTTCTATTTAGTCACTTTGGATGAAATTCACCTTTCAACAAAAGAGCCAGGACAAGGTCTATGCAGTGCATAAGTCTTCAGATTAGGGCTTTAATTAGGGTGACCAGATAGCAACTGTGAAAAAATGGGATGGGGGGGGGAATAATAGGCACCTATATAAGAAGAAGTCCCAAAAAACAGGACTGTCCCTTTAAAAATGGGACATCTGGTCAGGAGCACCACCGGCGGAAGGTCCCGTCCCAAAATGCTGCCCCCCCCACAGAGGCAGCGGAAGGTCCCGCCGCCGAAATACCGCCGCGGTCGCTGCCTCCCAAATTGCAGAGCCCTAGCCGACCACCTAGGTCGCCTAATGGGTTGCACCGGCCCTGCATCTGGTCACCCTAGCTTTAATGATTTACTAGGCCTTGGGTTGGACCCAAGTCTATTGTCTCAGTCTATTGTTGGTGTCCCTTATTTCTGTGGGCCCTTTGCACAGCAGAGAAGAATATTTTGGAAAAAAGGAAATGTGATTCTAGCTACAAACTGATAGGAAACTTGGGTCGGTGTAAAACCGACCCTGTTTCACTCCTGTTCTGAAACTGACTACGTATATCCCTTTCAAGAGGTTAAGGATGTTCTAGATTTTTCTTTCCTACTTGGGCTACATTAAAGGCCCTGTCTTGCTGCCTCTATGCAGACTTCAGGAATACACCCATTAGTGGGAGCTGCGATTAAGTTTTCCCCCAATCACTAATTACAAAATGCTTGATTGGCCTCCTACTTTCAGACACACGAGTAACAGGCACCTTGTTGCGGTGATTAAGGTGTCTCAAATACAAATGAAATGTTAAATCCACATCTGTAAAGAGGCTTAAATTCGACCTTAACTCTCACTGTGCATAGACTGATTAGATCAAATAGAGCAAAATTCATGAGTGAAGTAATTCGTAGTAGGAAAGGTTTCATGTCCATACCTTCCACTTCATAGCTGACTCTTATTACCCTTCTCCAAGGTTCTCTCTAGTCACTGGTACCAAAAGGGAGGAAATTGCTTGGGTAACCCTTTTCCCTACTAGTTAGAGAGTACCTGTTCATGCTAGAGCATAAGAGTTTGGTGAACCAGTTGCCAGCAGTAAGTAGGACTGGCAGGAGACAGTTGCTCCAACACATAACTTGCTGTTCTAAAAGACTCCCTTACTAGGCATTTACCTAAATGTTAGGTTTCAGAGTAGCAGCCGTGTTAGTCTGTATCCGCAAAAAGAACAGGAGTGCATCCGAAGAAGTGGGTTGTAGCCCACGAAAGCTTATGCTCTAATAAATTTGTTAGTCTCTAAGGTGCCACAAGTACTCCTGTTCTTTTTACCTAAATGTTCTCACTCTACCATGGGTGAAGTTTACCCCTATGCAACAGGCCAGCATATCCACCCCTTAAGACTGAAGTACTGCGTGAGCTTTTCCTTGATTTCCTGCACAGAGCTGCATTTCACCCTTAACAAGCACATGCTGTAATGCTGCCAGGTAAAACGCTATGCTCATGAACATTTTAGTTGTCAGAACTGAAGCATGGTTCAAATGTAAGGTTTGAGTTCTAGCACTGATGTCAGCAATTCTGAAAAGCAGGTGCAATTCCTGAGGCTGGCAATGTGGTAAAGATGAGCTCAGTGCACCGCTATCTGTCTCAACTCCTATGGATTGCTGTAAAATAAATCCCAAAAGCACAAGGAAAGATACTATCTGTCAGCACTCTGAATATTATCTGTAGCTGCAGTGATCTTGTTTGTAGTAGCCTTCCGTCCTTCACCATTTGTGAGCACTTCAGTGTATTACTTAGCTATACAGAACTATTCCTATTCTAAAAACTTGCTGTCTGGCTGGAAGGTTGGATCCCGCTGTTGAAAGCAGTGTCTGTCCAAGAGCTTTGCTGCATTGGGAACTAAACAAGAAATATAATTCATCAGCTTTAATACCTTTTATACAGGAGTCACAGCTTTAATACAGGAGTCAGCTTGGCAAGTTAAACTGTCAACTGCGTTGCCGCTCAGCAGTTTAAAGATTCATTTCACACTTGACAGCAGAAAATGTTGTTGAGCAGACAAGCCATCACTCCTTTGAATGGATGTGGAGGAAAATATGATAGAATAACAAAACCTTGGCATCTGCTGCACCGAGCAGCTGAAATTCACTTGTTGGGGGGCAGTGGGGTGGGCTTTCTCCATATACTTTTTCCAGTTGTATTTTTGTGGGACTTCTGGATCCAGTGCATTTACTTTCAGCAGTGTGCATCCCTGTCCTTTAAGTTAGCTACTTTTGGCAGGGTTTGGAGAACAGGTTATTCCATTACACTTGTGAATCAAAGGACCCCTTTCCACTGTGTGTGTGTCGCAGTCTTCAAAATGAAACATACGCTTCTGCAGCTTTGCAACAGCTTTTTTTTCAGTTGTAGGGAAGATACCTTGAAATCAAAGAAAGACCGTGAGTTCGCTGCTTCCCCCCCGCATTATTATTGACTTTCTGCTTGCATTTTATTTTCAGTGCTAGGGTTTTCTCCCTTGGCTGCTATCATTCAGGTAGATTTTTGTATGAGCTGGATAATATAAAGATTTAAAATTGATGGGGCGTGTTATGACTGATAATCTCTGAACAGTTCCAAAAATATATGGATGCCAGGAGTCCAGATAATTTAAGAATCCATCATTCCTGGAAAATCCATCTAACTAAGGGCAAGTCTATACTAGAAATTCTTGTCAGCATAGGTGTGTTGGCAAGGGTTGAGAAGCACTGATTTATAACATTCAGTGTTGTTTACTATTTGTTTGTGGTATTAAGTGCTTACCTGAGATTTACGAGGGGACTTCCATCGAGTTTTTTTAAGTTACAGTACTTTACAGAGGTCTAATTAATCCTTCCCTCAGCTGGTGAGGTAGGTACCTTCCATTTTACAAAGAGAAACTGAGGCATAGAGAGACTGACTTGTCGGAGGCCACAGGGGGAGTCATTGTCAGAGCAAGGATTGGAATTTGCTCAGTCCCATAACAAAACCACTTGATTAATCCTCTCTAATATGAAAATTTAATCCCCTCCTCTTTGAAGTTCCATTGGAAGGGGGGACCAAATGGAGAATTGCTTGCAAATGTTATCAAGTAGCCTTTTTCTCTGCTTTCATGTAGATCTGATTTCCCCACTGCATTTGTCCAAACTAGTGCCTTGTAATTCAGTAAAACTTTCACACACACCAAAAAGAAAAACTTCAGTTAATTTCCCCTAAAAAAAATGTTCCCATGCCCCTTTCTGAACTAATTCACTTTTATAATAATCACTCATGGAAAACTGTCATTTTGCTACTGTTAAAGCAAAGAGCGACACCTAGCTGTGAAATGCTGCTAAGATGTGGACGGTGAGTATCTTTAAAGATAAAACCGTTCTGCTCCCACAACTATGCATTTTAACTCCTAGCAGACTCCTAGTACCTCTCAGCTATAGTCTTACAGGGACTATAATGGCATACAATGGCTACTTGCTTTGGAAATTTAGGACAAATATCAGATAATTAACGTGGCCACAGGCATGACTTGGTTTGTAGCATCAACTAGGTAATTTTATAGGCACTAGATATTTGCTAGCTGATCCAAAAATGTGAATTCCTGTAACAGGGGCAATCAGCACTTGTCATGCTGTTACTCCCATTATGGATACATCAATACATGCAACATTATCCCTGCTTTTTTAGAGTCTGCCAATATAGAGATTCACTCCTTCCACGTTTGCTTTTAAAATAGACTAACACCATCTTGCAGTAGAATCAAGTTTGAGTGCAAATCATTATCTAAGAACAGATATGCCCCCACCCCTGGGTTTACAAAAAATGCATCAAACATTTTATCTATTTTTACCTTTAGTTTGGCACAGCTGCAACGTCTGAGTTAACGTAATCTGGATAATCATCTGGGCTTTCTAAACGTAGAGAGTTGTTATTGGGAATTGAAAGCACTGATCAGTAAATGCGTTGATCTACGCACATCTTTATACGCCCTGCCAACCTTTTTAACTCTTGTTGTTGATATCAACTTGTGTGTTCCATACCAGCCATTTTTCTGTATGTGCCAAGAAATACCAGATTCCAGCATCAAGGCTCCTTGGAAAGTCTTGAAGACTGTACGTAACAGCAGTTTGCAGTGTTCCTTCAGTAGATTTTTAGAATAGATCATAACAGATCCACAGAGACATTACAATCTACTGGATTTATAAACAGGGCACACACAAAAAAACCAAGAAACGGTTTGCCTAGATTTCAGAGTGGTAGCCGTGTTAGTCTGTATCAGCAAAAACAATGAGAAGTCCTTGTGGCACCTTAGAGACTAACAAATTTATTTGGGCATAAGCTTTCGTGGGCTAAAATCCACTTTTTGGTTTGCCTAGAGCAGGGGTCGGCAACCTTTCAGAAGTGGTGTGCCGAGTCTTCATTTATTCACTCTAATTTAAGGTTTTGCGTGCCAGTAATACATTTTAACATTTTTAGAAGGTCTCTTTCTAGAAGTCTATAATATATAACTAAACTATTGTTGTATGTAAAGTAAATAAGGTTTATAAAATGTTTAAGAAGCTTCATTTAAAATTAAATTAAAATGCGGAGCCCCCCAGACCAGTGGCCAGGACCCGGGCAGTGTGAGTGCCACTGAAAATCAGCTCGCGTGCCGCCTTCGGCACGTGTGCCATAGGTTGCCTACACCTGGTCTAGAGCATCCCCCCAAATCAGATATGAGAAGTTCCTAAATACGCCCAACAGTGCATCTCACAACTAAAGCTGTCCCAATGTGCTTCATGGGAAGCTACATATCCAATTGAACCTCTGTTTTAAAAAGTTAACCTAACCAAGGCTTTTATGCTGGCCCATCAGGGAGCTTCATACTCCAGGGACATAAGATACAAAGATACTGTTGCATGTTCGTTTCCTGGTCTTAGGGCTCCAAAAGCAAGGCAGCGTTTGCAGCTTGGAGAGTTAAAAACTGAGAAGGTTTGAAATAAGAGAAGAGACAGTCTTCTGTAAGGGCCTGCCAGGGGACCTCAGTCAAACTGTAGGTCTTCCAACTCTGTGCTCCCTTAAATATCAGAAAGGCAAGAGACACAAAGATTTCAAGCTAGTACTCAAAATCCTTGCTAAGATATGCAACAATGTGCAACTAGTTTTTAAAATGTTTCTATTGTCATGACTAGGGGTCATGTCTTCATCTGCAGCTTGCAGAATGGGACCCCAATCCTAACTGAGGCCTTGGGGTGCTACCATAAAAATATTAAATAACGATAGTTTTCAGAACATACCTGATATATTTGATTGTTTCCATATCTTTATAGAGGCGCTGTTCTCATAGTCGTCCACGTCATCTGTGAGCAAGAAAAGTGTGCACAGTGCAATGAAAGCAAGTGGACTAAGGGTATGTCTACACCCAGCCGCTAGTTCGGCAGCTGGCAATCGAAGTTCTGGGTTCGACTTATCGCGTCTTGTCTGGACGCAATAAGTCGAACCAGGAAGTGCTCGCCGTCGACTGCGGTACTCCAGCTAGACGAGAGGAGTACCGCGGAGTCGACGGGGGAGCCTGCCTGCCGCGTGTGGACCAAGGTAAGTTCGAACTAAGGTACTTCGAACTTCAGCTACGTTATTCACATAGCTGAAGTTGCGTACCTTAGTTCGATTTGGGGGTTTAGTGTAGACCAAGCCTAAGAATGTGGAACTGTTCTTTGAAATGTCTCACTTCTACCCTCTAAAAATGTAACTATTTGGACAAGGCTGAGTTTCCAGTCAGACCTGTGGGCTTGTGCATTTTAATGTGGAGCAACTCCACTCCCATGTCTGGTCATCGCCATCTCATCTACTTCCCAGTTTAGCACGTGGTTTGTTTGTTTTTTTCCAGGCATGGGTTAGACCTGCCTGTTGATGGTACTGCTGCCCATTAAAACAGTATACCCAATGTAATCGTTCAGCATAAAGCTAATTGTGATCAGATTCTGAGATGTTATCAACACAGCATATAATATCAAAAGCCAAAATTAATCCACAATTTTGAAAAAATATCCCAGAGATAAAAGTTCTCATTTCAGAATAAAGGCCTGTCATAACTATAAAGGGAAGGGTAACAGCCCTCCTGTGTACCACACTATAATCCCTCCTGGCCAGAGACACCAAAATCCTTTTACCTGTAAAGGGTTAAGAAGCTCAGGTAACCTGGCTGACACCTGACCCAAAGGCCCAATAAGGGGACAAGATACTTTAAAATCTTGGGGAGAGGGAAGGCTTTTGTTTGTGCTCTTTGTTTTGGTGAGTGTTCGCTCTTGGGACTGAGAGGGACCAGACATCAATCCATGCTCTCCAAATCTTTCTGAACAAATCTCTCATATTTCAAACTTGTAAGTAAACAGCCAGGCAAGGCATGTTAGTTTCATCTTTGTTTTCTCAACTTGTAAATGTACCTTTTGCTAGAGTGTTTATCTCTGTTTACTGTAACTTTGAACCTAAGGCTAGAGGGGGTTCCTCTGGGCTCTTTAAGTTTGATTACCCTGTAAAGTTATTTTCCATCCTGATTTTACAGAGATGATTTTTACCTTTCTTTCTTTAATTAAAAGCCTTCTTTTTAAGAACCTGATTGATTTTTCCTTGTTCTAAGATCCAAGGGGATTGATCTGGACTCACTAGGAATTGGTGGGGGGAAAGAGAAGACGGGAGGATGATTAATTCCTCCTTGTTTTAAGATCCAAGGGGGTTTGAATCAGTATTCACCAGGGAATTGGTGGAAGAGTCTCTTAAGGCTACCCAGAGAAGGGACTTAGCACATTGCGAGTGGTGGCAGCAAAAGCAGATCTAAGCTGGTAGAGAAGCTTAGAGGTTTTCATGCAGGTCCCTACATCTGTACCCTAAAGTTCAGAGTGGGGAAGGAACCTTGACAAGGCCTAAGTGAGTAAAGCTTTAAGCGAAGTGATTGGGGGCCCTGCTCCATGACTGGGGCGTCTCAGCACTACTGCAATACACACAGTAATCGTCCCCCAAAAACTGCCACTTACCAGACTCAGCACTATTGGATGCCCCAATCACAACATTTTGATAGGAACAGGAATCCTCTTCCTTTTCTGTAAGAGATAAAAAGGAAGGACTTAATATGTTGGATGATGGTGAGAGCTCTCTGCGTGTGGCTCTGTGTACAACACTAAGTCTTAGCACCAGCTACCTGTGAGGAAGAGGTGTTTACCACAGAGAAACAAATGCACTACTTAAGAAAGTTAGCAGAAAGGTCACTGTTAAAGACTGTGTTAGAACTGCAGCTTGTGAGGCATGGTCACTTTCAGTATAATCACTTTAACATGTTAACATGGGATCGGATCCTGCATTGAAATCAACTGGAGTTTTGCAGTTGGCTTCAAGGAGAGCAAGACTGGGTATTCATGACAGTGTTTAGAGGGTAGCAGGGGGTAGCCGTGTTTGTCTGTATCCACAAAAACAACAAGGAGTCCGGTGGCACCTTAAAGACTAACAGATTTATTTGGGCATAAGCTTTTGTGGGTAGAGAGGCTGGGAGCGTCTGCTGCATGATATAGAGGTTAGGAATGGATGACCTACTACAACTTCAAATAGATTGTCCTGTATAACTAGGAGTAAAAAATTAAACTGGGGTTATTAATCCTGCATAATAGGGTAGCAATAGGAACAACCAGCCTGTATTAGCTCATTGCAGTTCTGGTAAACAACCAAAACCTCTATGATTTAGATCAGAACCTACAAGCAGGGGTAAAAAGTCCTCAGGCTCACACTCCAATCCTACAGTTGTAAGTGCAGGGTTTTTTCCTCCTTGTGAACTAAGAGCTGATCAGAGGCCTGATCTACACTGAAATGTTTCACTGGTATGTTGTTGAAGGGTGTGACTATTCACCGAAATACTTATTACCGGTACAACCGCTCGAGTACATGCAGTTATACCAATATAACAGGGTCTTACACTGACATAGTATGTTTCCTTTCCTGTACGGGAAATAAGCTAGCCCAGGATAAGCCCTTTTATACTGTATCCACACTAGGAAGTTGTATTGCTTTAATGATACTGGTATAGTTAAAGTTGTCTGAGTTGTATGTATAGACGAGCCCAAATGTGCCAGTTGGCAGCCCTTGAAACCAATGTTACCTACTGAGCCCACATGGCAGCCAGGCAGTGGAGAAACCTGTGCACTGCTCCACCTACCCAGATAGAGATCATTTCTGGGGTGAAAGGATTCTTCATTTTCCATGGCCAAATCACTCCTTGGCCGTTCTCTGCTGAGACTGATAACAAAGGTGCCAGCTGTGATGGTTTTCTTGGGACAAGGACACAGCTTCACAGTGAATTGGATGGAGACCATCACCAATGAACCATTAGAGAATAAGTTTCCATCATTACCAGCCTGGGCGGGATTTTAATTGGCAATCTACACATGTAAAGTCTGTTACACATCCCTGAAGTGCCGCCTACTCTGCAACTGGTCTCTAAAAAAAATAATGGTATTGGGAGGTGTCTGCGTTTACTGTCAGTCAGTGGCTTCCAGATCAAATGGGAACAGACTACTGGTTTTAAAAGATGTTTTTCTAAATACCAGCCCTGCAAACTCACTCTGGAATCTGAGAATCAAGCTGGGTTCTTTCCATCTCACACATCATGACCAGTAATGAAGGTTCTGCAGGCCAAATTAACCCCTCAGTGATGCTTGAGAAACACCCCTGTCTTCCAGTTCTGGCCTCAGTGACAACTAAATAGCCCCACTGCTTTACTTATATTAATCATTATCAAACAAAATTGCTATATTCCAATTAATTTATCCCTAACACCGCCTAAAATAAAATAATTAAGCTACCACTGTTTAGGGTTCTAAAAACCCCAAATAACCCCCTCAGGCCCCACTGGAATACAAATAGTAAGCCATTATAATCACACAGCCAGCTGGTAAGATTGCTTTTGAATTAACGGGTACATCTTACAAGCCTGATTCCAATTTCAGCATGGAACTCCAGGAAGCTATTCTGGATTTACACCATGTCAGAGAGATCACAAGCTGGCCCTAGTCCTTATGTACTAAAATTTGTATGCTCTATATGTGGTTTGCTGAATGTGTGCTTTGAAGAATCCGTTCCATTTGATAAGTAGCTTCCCGTTGCCTCTCAGCCCACATTCACTATCTATTTTCAAACTAGCACCACAGCTGAGAGAGACTATTGGCTGAGACCAAGGCTCAAGTGCAGGCATTTAATAATATTTATAATTAGAATCCGTTTAAAAAGCAACCATGATGTACATGGGCAGTTAAACCACACGAGCAACTGCCTGTAGTTTACTATCTGAAATGTACATCCACAGATGCAGAAAATGTAACTGAAGCCTGAACAGTTGATGTGGTCACCACATCAAAGTTAGGAAGATTCTCAGATATTCATTCATGCAAATAGACATGCCAATCACTTTCCATCTTGCTTTAACCCCTCCCATGGCACAAACTGGAAGTGCTAGGCTAATAAAGTCGGTGGATGCTGTAGTCACAACACAAAAGTACCACTTGTTTCTGCACCACTCAAAATTCAGGATTTTCACATTTAGTTTTGAATTTCCCCCCCAAATAGTTACATTTTTGCCACCAAAAAAACCCCCCCACCCCAAGAATATTTTTCTTTTTTCCCCCCTCAAAAATAAGACCATCTTTGAGTGGAAAACAGACAACGTTTTGAAATTTCTTTTGGACAAAAAAAATTGATTATCCAAAAATGGTGTCAGAATCAGATACAATTTCAGATAAGTTTTGCACACTTTGGGATATCAAAATGGCCATTTCACAGAATTTCACACATGCAACATCCACATTGCGTTTTTTGAGTCTCCTCCTGCCCATAATTTTCACACAGTCCTCAAGCACTAATTTTATAAAATAGAAAAACAAAATAATTAAAGACATTGCTTGGATTGCAAGCTTTTGGGACAAAGACTGCCAGTTAGTATGCATATGTATAGCATCAGGCACAATGGGGTCCTGATCTCCATTAAGTCCTATGGTAACTACCGCAATATAAAAGAATAATAATTAAACAAATAAGTCAGAGAAGTTTTTTTAAAGGTCTTTACACCACATCCGTCTTCTGGTGACAGACTTAAATTAGTTAACCTCTTTTTTGTACTTTTAAGAACAGTGTATTAAACACCTCTTTCTGTTACAACGTATTTAACTCTAAGTGTGTTACAGGATTTAGTTTTGCAGAAGCAATTTGGGACACAGTTTTCATGAAAGACCCTAGACAAAATAGGACCCTAATTATGATGATTATTATTTATTGTTTGTATTATGGTATTGCCTAGAGGTCAGAGCTTCGTTGTTCACAGCACTATACAAACATATAACAAAGAGACAACCTCTGCCCTGAAGAGCTTTCAATTCTGCAATTTAGCTGTGCCTGCATGGAGCCCCGTTAAAGTCAATGTCTCTCTAAACATAGCTTCCAGGCTCGCTACCTCATCTGTTCTGTATTTAACACTGATTAGTGTTCCTAATAGTAGAGATCTGGGGCACCGTCCTGCATCCCTCATGGGCCTACTTGTGAGGATGAGAGCTGCAGGATCAGCCCCAAGGTCCAGGTCCTGCAAGCGTTTACTTTCGGGAGTAGCTTGAGACACCTCAGGTAGCCAAATGGGATTATTCCCTCCCAGTGCATACAGGTAAGCACATCTATAAGTGTGTGTGGCATCAGGGCCTAGGTGGATGCACCTTTCTGTACCTAGACTCAAGTTATGAGAACACAGAATATTGTATGGTTTGAAAAACAAAAAGAACAGGAGTACTTGTGGCACCTTAGAGACTAACAAATTTATTTGAGCATAAGCTTATTTGTTAGTCTCTAAGGTGCCACAAGTACTCCTGTTCTTTTTGCGGATACAGACTAACACGGCTGCTACTCTGAAACTTGAAAAACAAAGTGACCATTGGAGATTTAAGACCTGTGGCACTTCACATTCTCTTCCTGGGACATTCCATTCCATTCTCAGGGAATTCCACCGTGAATGTTAAACCTCAGGGAATTCCACTGTAAATGTAAGGTGCCTATACGGACAGCTGTGCCCAAATCACTTTCCTGACTTGCTTGGGGTTGATCTTGTTTGCACCACCTACTGTACGCCACTGAGACAAGTACTTGATGGTGCTGCTGTTAGGCAGGGATAGCATCGCCTTTGAACGTTCAGGGCTTTGGCTCTGGACTACATGCGGTGCGGCTTTAGGCAATGCTCTGCCACTGGCCTGAAGCCAACCAGGGCTTAATGAAAATAAACCAGCTGATTTGCATTGAAGTATGGCACCTGACCATAGCCCTGAAGCGTGGCACAGCTTTTCAGTGGTTTTGCCGCTCTGTAGCACCCTCCTTTTGGATTCCCCCCCGACACAATAACTTTTAACCCCTTGCTGCCCATGTCTATTCCTTAATTAAAATTATGTCAAACCATATTGTAACAAAGGAGAAAGATAAAAGAAGAAAACTGTCTGTTTCTAGCTCATCCCAAACCCATGCTACAACCTGGCTGGCTGGAAATACTTCATTGGTTTTATCTTCCATAAGTGGATTGAATAAACAGCCATTCACTTGTCTGTCTTGTGAACGTACCATTTGCTGGTCTCAAGAACGTCCCACAGTTCAAGTAATCTGTAGCTATAGGGTTGCTGGAAAAGATAAAACATCTCAGTCTTAGATATTTTTTGCCTTTGAGATGGCACTTGGGGCAAAATCCCACTCACCTTACTCATGCGTGGGACCCCAATTTCCCAGCCACCCAAATCAATCAGAAAGAGCCACAGAGCCTTCTCTTCCCAGAATCTTAAACTTTCCTTAAAGTTGCCACAGCTATCACAAGCTGCCTCATCTCCTGGGCAATGCACTTCTATAACTGAGTAAACCAAATACAAAACTTCCAAAGGTGCCTCCCAAAGCTATTTCTTTTAAATGAGATTTCTGTGACCCACATCAATACTGCTGTCCATTTCTGTGATTAATCTAATAGGTAGCTTCTACAGTAGTGGGTCTATGCCAGGATGTAAATATCTTCGTGAAGGTGAAGTACAGTATTTGGTTTTCTGTATGTATTGCACTATATCTTGGTTGCATCTGGAATGGGTATGTTTCTTGTGATTGGCTCCTTGTCCAATATCATTCTTGAAACAAGCCTATTGCATTCCTCATGGTTCTAATACTACACAGACTATGAGATGTGTAGTTTCACGTTCAGGTGTGAGCTGCACTACAGGCTAATATGATACAATGGAAGTCATATTCAATACGAGTTATGTACAACTGCAGAACTTGGACATGGAACACCTTCTCTGTGCATGTATCCTGCTTAGCACCTGGCTTCCCATAGGTTACTCATGACAAATTCAGAAGCATTTAGGACAGATTTTTCATTTCCATCCTGAGATCTTGCATATTCTGCTGAGAGTAACCGCACTAGCAAGTTACTATTCACAGCGGAAACAATGGTTCACAGTAACGTGGCCCATTGCAAGGTCTTAGAGAGAGTGTGAAATTAACACAGCTGTGCACAATCTGAATAATGAAACAGAATGAATGTCATGATCTTCAAAGCTCTGCTTTGGAACCCAAATCTTTGGAATTTAATTTCCTCTTTAAGAAGATGAACTAAACCCACTGTAACATCCTACAATTCAAAGCTACCATTAGCAAGGGAGACTGAAGAGATTAGATTCAATGTACTGATGGATGGGAGAAAGATTGACTTACACATAGGCAGCATCCAATTCCTGGTTGTCTTCTGCAAGTACAAATCATTTGCCATTAGCACAGTCTCAGGGACATTTCTCACAGCGCAAAATCAAAATAAAGTCACAAAACTGATCCAGAAAAGGTCTATGCACTTAGAAACAGGCAGGGCCAGGTTAGATTCTCCAGGAGCATCTGTGGCGATTGCTTCCCTTCAAACAAGCATTCCAGCTCTTTCCTTTCTCACTCAGTTTTTTACTGGATCTGTGTATCTCTTGCCTCGGGAAAATTAACACTTCTCCCCCCAATGCACAGACTGCACCAGTCTCACCTTCCTGTTCTCTTGTCTTGGTGTTCCCCGTCTCCTCCCCATGCCCCATTCTGCAACATCGTCTCCTCTGCACGCCCCACCCTGCTGCTTTCTAATGCACTGCCCAGAAACTTCAAAGTGCACTGACCAAAAGGCATCAGCCGTGTCACTCGCAAGCCTGCAGCTCAGACACCTCAAGAGATGCATGTGAGCAGGCTCAAAATATTGAGCAAGCCACATCCGGCCTGACACCCCTGGACTAAACATGAATTTGATGCAAGTTTTGCCATTGACTTCCATGGGAGCAGGGCTGGACCCTATGGGTATGTCTACATGGCAATAAAACACCTGCAGCTGATCCTCGTCAGCTGCCTTGGGCTCGTGGGGCTCAGGCTGCAGGGCTGTAAAACTTGGGCTGGAGCCTGGGCTCTAAGACCTTGCGGGGGGGGGGGGGGGGGGGGAAGGATCCCAGCCCAAGCCTGAACATCTACACAGCAATTTTATAGCTCCGCATCCCAAGTCCCACCAGCCCGAGGCCACTGACGCGGGCCAGCCATGGGAGTTTTATTCAGTGTAGACGTGCCGTAAGGGCCCAGGGAAAGAGAATTTAAGGGGCTTTGTTTTAGATAAAGAGTAATTTAGCATATAGTCTAAGTTATCCTAAAGCAGCGGTTCTCAACCAGAGGTACGCGTACCCCTAGGGGTATGCAGAGGTGTTCAAGGGGGTACCTCAACTCATCTAGATATTTGACTAGTTTTACAACAGGCTACATAAAAAGCACTAGCAAAATCAGTACAAACTAAAATTTCATACAGACAATGACTTGTTTGTATTGCTGTATGCAGTATACACTGAAAATGTAAGTACAATATTTATATTCCAATTGATTTATTTTATAATCATATGGTAAAAAGGAGAACGTCCGCAATTTTTCAGTAATAGTGCGCTGTGACACTTCTGTATTTTCATGTCTGATTTTGTAAGCAAGTAGTTTTTAAGTGAGGTGAAATTTGGGGGTACGCAAAACAAATCAAACTCCTGAAAGGGGTACAGTAGTCTGGAAAGGCTGACAGCCACTGTCCTAAAGGACAATGAGGCCTGGTCAAGGGGCATGGATAGTTAAACAAAAGGATTTGATGAGCTCCTCTATAAAAAACAGACTGAGCAATGCCATCATTTGGGCTTTAACATAATCATCTGTGGCCTTTGTGATGGTTGCTTCACTCTAATCATTGCATCACAATGGGCTAGTGCCCCGATCAGCCCTATCTTCCTCCAAAGATAAAATGTCCTTTACAGAGCTGTGCTACTGGAGACCTCGAGACCAGAATAATTACTATATTCATATGCATTAAAGAATAAAATACTAATGAAGGGAATTCGGACGGCAGGAGATGCCTTCTTCCTGCTACCTTTGTTATTATTAATTATTTGTATTACGGTACCATCCAGAGGCCTCAACTGAGATGAGAACCTTGTTGTGCTCTGGATGTTACTAAGAGACCGTCCCTGCCGCTCTTACAATCTAAACAGGAGAAAGGCAGCATTCTGACCTCCATTTTACAGCTGGGGAACATCTTTTAGCCTAAGAAATATCCTGACAGCTGAATACAGACAGGGTGTGATTAGAAACTCAAGGGGAAGCCAGCCCGTATACTAACAGATTCTCCATTCAGAGAAGAGACAGGAACAAAAATGTGATGTTGCTTCCAAAGGCTGGTGACCTTCCATCTAATATGCAGAAACACCCACATACATTAAAGCAGGGATCACAGCTTTTCATTTTCCCACTATTATTTTAAATAGAGGAGTAGATCCAGTCCTAGCATAAGTGGGCGCAAGTTCTATTGACTTCAATGGGAGTTACTTATACTAAGGCTGAATTTTGTCCGCCACGTTCTTAGCCTAATTGAATTATGTTGCAGTTGTAATGTTTACCTCTCATGAAATTTTGATATCTGGGCTCAGCACCATCACCTAGAAGAGAGCACATGTTGACATTGTATGTTAGCCATGATTTGCTAGCTAGCAATTACAGGGGCTATGAAATCCGATTCAGAGGCGATTGAGCCACCAGATGTGAAATTCAGGGGGGAGGGATAGCTCAGTGGTTTGAGCATTAGCCTGCTAAACCCAGAGTTGTGAGTTCAATCTTTGAGGGGGCCATTTAGGGATCTGGGGCAAAAATCTGTCTGGGGATTGGTCCTGCTTTGAGCAGGGGGTTGGACTAGATGACCTCCTGAGGTCCCTTCCAACCCTGATATTCTGATTTTATGAAATAAAGCGCAGTATAAAAAGAAAGGGGAAAATAATGAATTGTGGAACAATGGACCAATCTGGGGAAAATGTTCTAATGGGAAGAGCCACCTAGGTCACTAATGAGGAAATAGATTTGGGGGTGAGAGAGGAAGAATCACCAACACCATCAGCTCAGTGCAGCACTGTAGGAAAAACAGAAACACCAGGTAGCAAGCGATAGTAGCAGAGACTAGAATCCAAGACACTCGCTAAACTCCACCCCTGGACAGAGAGGGTGGTGCTGTGGTCCAGGTCTGAGACTCAGGACAGCTCGTTTCAATTCTCAGTTCAGCCACAGACTTCCTCTGTGAGCTTGAGTGAGTCACTTAATCTTGGTGTCCCAGTTCCCCTTCTGTAAAGTGAGCATAACGACAGACAGACTTAACACAGATCTGGGGAGACATTCATTAAATGTTTGTGAGGTCCTCACATACTACCTAGAAAGGTGCTTGGACAGAACCCTTAGGGACTCTGTCTCCATGGCAGGCAAGGTGCTTTGGAGAACAGTCCCTAGCTATACAGGGGGCCAAAGATGTGAAAACTCCCTCCTCTCTGGTATTTCAACAGAGCCCAGGTTTGCAGATCAAACCAGGGTGGGGTGCAAGACACATGTTTTAGGGAAAGCTATGGTCCATCACTGAGTTATCTATTATTATTGGGATGTTTAAGGAGTTGGAAGGGCTCAGCATTTGCAATCAGCAAGATCTTTCCCCCCAAGGAACAGGCTTTGCAGCAAGGGAAGGGAGGATAATAAATGAATATAAGCAGAAAGTCAATAGGAAAAACTCCCTGGATTGCAGTTTAACCCAGTCTTAGGGCCATTGGATGAGAAGCCTGATCTTCGAAAGGGCATTTTCCTTACATCTCACAAGCAGTCCCTTCTCTAGCCCTTAGCTAAGCAAGAGGAGAGGGTAAAGCTGAGCTGGGATTAACTCCTTGTTCACCAGTGACTAGGTAGCATATTGTCTCACAGCAGGACAGGGATGGTAGCTGTTTGTACTGAATATTGTGGGGAAGAGGGATTTCACTTAATACCACATTTAGGGCCCGATGCTCAGAAGCATTGAGCACCCAAAACTCCAGTTGAAATTGCTGGGAGATGCAGGTGCTCCGCTTCTCCGCAAATCCAGGTCACCTGCCCACATGCTCCAGCAATGGGCACGCAGAAAATTAAAGCTGGAATACTGTGTGCAGAGCTGGCTACCGCACCCCAGTAAGACGACCACTGCTTAGGGGAGAGCGCAGTGTAGGGCAACAGAGACCAGGTCTGAAGAATCTGCAAAGTTGTGGAAAGACTCAGGAGGTTGGTCTTAGTTTCAAAGGAAAAGAGAAAAGGAGAACTAAAAATCGAGTTTTCAAAGGGACTGAGAGAGGTGCTGGAGAGAAATAGTCACAGATAAAGGGTTTAAACACGGAATAAATGGATAGAGAATGTAAGCAACATTCCATCATGCAAAGGGTAACGAGTTATATGGGGCGTCATGAAGGTTCGTTGTGTGTGTTTGTATAGTTTTACAAATGTTTGTGCGTTAGGTATTATTATAGGAGTAGGTTGTAGCGTTAGCTAACTTACTTCCAAGGTAACCCCTGTCCCCATAATGCACCATTCAGAATTCAAAATGGATGACTATAAATGGGAATGGAACATCCTCTCCCAGGCTTAACTTCTGTGAGCTTTGTAGGCGTATATAGCAGTCAGGGATCTCTTACCATATATGTCCCATTTGCCAATATAAACTGGCAAAGATTTGTAATATTCCCACGTACTAATTTTGTATTGGAGTAACAACCCACCCAGGGCAGATAACAAAAGGTGTAAAGAAATGGATACTTCTGTATAAATACCTACCATCAATACCTGTGGCCTGCAGTTGCTTATTGGTTTTCCTGAAAGAGATAAATTTATTAATGTAACAGATTCCGGCAAATGCTATTTCTCCCGCGGTGTAGGTCTGTACCTGGAATACAAGCCATTCACACTGGAAAGTAGCTAAAATCCCAGTTCTAAACACACCATATTAAATATTGGATATTACAGAGGTCCCCAACCAATGGGCTGAACAATCCCCATGCTCCACGGAGCTTTTCCTGGTGGGGCTGTGCAACAGGAGACATTTTGAGGACTAAGAAATGGGAATTGGGGGATTTGGGATGGGATTTGGATAAACAAATATATACTCAAGCGACAATATTCTGCCATATATTTTCCATATCAGTTTGCTTGGGCTTCACAATGTCAAAATGGTTAAAATCAAGGACCTCCTGTGCTACTTGCCTTTCACCCGCAATGACAGTTCATTTCCCTGGCTTGGTTTTAAGGATTCATGCTAGTGGATGCTATAAAAGCAGTTGGAACACAGATATCAAGAGGATTTAGACCATTATGAAAGGATAAGCAGTAAATTAAATATAGGCCAAGCCAGATGTGGACCCAAATCCTCCATTTTCTCAAAGTTTGGGTGGACCCAGTGGCCCAAATTTTGGCTGAAATATCTTATTTTGTCACCTACCTTGTTACTGGGATGTTGTCTGGCAATTTAATTTGATCTTGCCTTGTCACTGCAACTGGCGTGGAAAATAAAATCAGATGTTGAAGGTTATGGCAGTAGGAGACACGTTTTCAAACTGAGCACAGAGCAGTCAAATGCAAAGGATTTCCAGATATTTGCAGACTACGAAATCCAGAACTTTTTCAATTACCTTCCTAAAAAACATAGGGTGGGCCAGGGCAGGAAATGACTATAGAAACCTATTGTGTCTGCAAGCAACAGGAACAGGCCACTGCAAACAAATATGTGTTAGATAAAGCTCCAGTCCTAAAAGTTAGGCTGGTCCCTAGTCCCCCTGCAAATTAGCTGATATTTTCTCCAAATTTGCATGAGTTTCCATCCCCGAGCTTCTAGCAGTTCTTTTTTATAGACTTCCACTCTCTAAAAATTATAGCTATGGGTTCTCCTAGATCAGGGGTACTCAAACTGGGGTTCGGGACCCCTCAGGGTGTCGTGAGGTTATGACCTGGGGGGGGTCGCGAGCTGTCAGCCTCCACCCCAAACCCCGCTTCACCTCCAGCATTTATAAGAGTGTTAAATATTTTTAAAGTGTTTTTAATTTATAAGGGGGGGGTCGCACTCAGACTTGCTGTGTGAAAGCGGTCACCAGTACAAAAGTTTGAGAGCCACTGTCCTAGATGCTCCAATAGCAACTTCTCCTGAGGTTAGGTTGCATCTGTCATTGTCCTAGATCTTGTTAAAATAAAGATTTCTTAGATTGTTTGGCCCATCACTGCTTAATAATTCTCACTCTCCTCCAGGGATGAAAGGCTACAGAAAGGCAAAGTATTATTAAATGTAAGTTGCTGCAACCCACTTTTGTTCATTTTTAAATGAATTTCTCTCCACACCATAAAAACCTCTTCCCAGTTCTAGCTATCTATATTAGGGACTTCTCTGGCCCCCCTCACTGTAGTAGTCAAGTGAGGCTGAAAATTGCTATTATCTCCACATATTACCAATGGGGAAACTGAGGCACATAAATACTAAGCAACTTGCCCTAGCTCATATAGGGAATTTGTGGCAGAAGAGGGAACTGAATCCAGGTCTCCCAAATCCCAGGCAAGTACTATAACCACTGGACTATCCTTTCTCTCTCTGCTGGTTTAATCCTTCTGTGGCTGGGAATACATTCCATTGCACAACAGAAACAGCACTCCTTGGACCCATGGATCATCAGAGGCAGGATATCCACAGCTCCTACTACTGGAGCTCTCCACAGCATTTGTTGCTGTTGATCATGATTTAGCATTGTCCCATTTTAAAGATATTGGAGGAGTCAATGGACACCTGCTGTGATGACCCAAATCCATTCCTTCCAGGCTGTTCCCAGACAGTATTGTTGGACAACTGCTCTCCTGCCACCAGAGCACTCCCTCATGTTTTCCCCCATCCCAGACAGTCACAGCACCTCGCTGCTGGGGAAAACTGAGACATCAAGTCAAATGCCAGCAATACATGGATGACACCCAGATCTCGGTTTCATTTACATTCTGAGCTAGCAGCACCATCTTTCCGCTATCAGAGGTCAGCACCTGGATGTAAAACAGCTGCTTAAGGCAGCAAGACAGAGGTATTGTAGGCAGAGAGAAGGAAATGCTTTGAAAATCCAACTCCCACCGTGGTGTCTCACTCTGGGGCAGGAGCCTTGCTCAGATCCTCATGTCACTTTGCAGCCTCTACACCCTTCTGGACGACTCATTGCTGCTAGATACTCTAATGACAACCACTGCAAAAGACGTTATCTTCCAGCTGCAGCTGGCCAGAAGACTGCACCACATCCTGTCCAACACGGACTTGGCCATGATGCTTTCTAGGCTGGACTACTGCCTCCGTAGATTCACCGTATCTATCTTCGAAATGCAATTGGTTCAAAATGCAGCAGGCCCATCTCCTCAGCTCCTCAGGAGCACAATCCCATAGTGCTTTGCTTGTTTTAATAGCGGCCATTAGAACGCCAGTCACATTCCAAGGTCTCAGTCCTATGCACTCCATTGGATTGGCTCATGTTAGCCAAGAAACTTTCCCCTCTCTCAATGTGACAACACTCTCCCTAGAGATCTGTGGTCATCAGTTGCCAGGAAACAGCCTCAAGAACCCAAAGACAGAGTTTTCTCAATAGTCAGCTCAAGACCGTGTAACTCATTTGCACAAATCTTGCTCCTTTCAGAGCCAGGCATAACACGTCTTTCTTTCAGATTAGCTTTCCCAAAACCCAAAACGAAACAGCAGGGGAGTGGAAGTAGCAGCAGAAGATGGCATAGGAAGAGAAATAAAGAGAAGAGGGGAAAATCATTAAAATTAATAAAAAAAATAGAAAATGTAAAGAAAGACAAAGGAAGGGGGAAAAAGAAAGAATGGGCAGCCGGAGAGGAAAGAAAAGCTCAAAATGAAAGTCCCCTTGAGGTGACTCAAAGGAACAAGGGCCCAAGTGATGGTGCCTTTGTTTGGTGCTGTGATATTACTGCACTCAGGATGATAGAAGTACTTAGATCGACTGCAACGGGAAGCCAGTGCCTCGGCAAGCTTAGCTTCCGGCACCTTCTTTGTTTGACCTTTAATACCAACCCAATCAGCAGCTCAGTTTAGGATGAAATCAAAAGGTCAGCTTGTAACCAAATGTGCCGCAGGAAGCAATGACAGGGCAAGGATAAATGAGTCATTCATATCAATTTGGGTTCAAGTGTTTCCCCCCTCTCTCTGTCATTTTCAGGGGCAGTTTAAGTTTCTGCTCAGAAGAGCAGGGACCCTGTAGCCTAAGCCAATATGTTGTTACATTTCACGATACAGATTCTATGTGACACTAAATATTTAGGCTGGGATTTTAAAGGCGCTTAGGGGAATTAGGTACCCAAATACCAAGTGGGCACCTAAGTCTGCTTTGAAAATCTCAGCCTTCTAGTTCTGTCAGTTAGGCCTTCCATGCTTTCCCAATTGTAATGTATTATTCTCTGAGACGGGAATTTAATTCTCTGCACTGCAGGACACTGTCATGAAAAAAAAAAAAGACACAAATTGGTATCCTGGCAAAAACTGCAGCCTGGAAAACTTTCTCAGTACTTCATAACTACAAGATTCTTCCAGATACCTATAGAGCATTGGTTCTCAAATTTTTTTTCGCAGACCACTTGAAAATTGCTGAGGGTCTCGGCGGACCACTTAATGATCTTTCCAAATTTTGTTTGTACCGTTAGCTAACTATTGTAAAGCACTTTGGATAAAAGTGCTATACAAAAAAACAACTTTTATAATAACTAACGTTTTGTTCTACAAATAAAAGCACACAACTCATATTTTAATATCAGTAATCTTACTTTTCTAATGCGATGGATGTGCCCGCTCTCCCCCACCGCAGCAGCCCCTGAGCTGGGGCTGGGAAGGAGGGGGGGGTCTCCCCCTCTCTCCCCTGCAGCGGCAGCCCCCAACGTGGGTCTTGGAAGGAGGAGGGGTCTCCCCTGCCGTGGCAGCCCCCGAGCTGGGGCTGGAAAGGAGGAGTGTCTCTCCCTCTCTCCCCCACCACAGCAGCCCCCGAGTTGGGGCTGGGAAGGAGGGCCATCTCTCCCTGGCAGCTGCAGCCCTGGAGCTGGGAAAAGTCGCCTCTTTCTCTGGTCGCTGCAGCCCTGCACATCCCAAATTCCCCCCACCCCCTCTTCTCCCCCCCACTGTCCCCTCCCACCTACCCCCAATCCCCCCAAGGCCACCACCTCACCTTACATGTGCGTCTTCTCCAGGGTCCAGGCACCTAATTAGTGGAGCCACGCCTGCGCAGCTCCACTAATTAGGTGGGTGGCCCTTCATTCTCTTGTGTGCGGCCGCCCAGGCACACATCTTAGAGGGAACTATCCGCGGACCACCTGAATGGAGCTCGCGGACCACTGGCGGTCCATGGACCACAGTTTGAGAACCTCTGCTATAGAGCTTTGTAAAAACATATACTCACTTGAATAGGATCGTATCACCTCAAACCCCGGCTGGTTTTCATGCCTGAAAATACAGGGAAAGTTCTGGCTAATGCAATATGTACTAAAGGGAAAGACATGCAATGGGGGCGGGGGGCGTATTGTTAAAGTCACAAAGCATAAGACGGAGACAGAAGCCACTAAGGGCATGAAAGTGGAGCCTAAGGAAAGCTGAGGCTTATATTGCACAGCACGTCAGCACGAAGGCTGTTACAACCGAAATCCAAAGAAAGGGGCTTCCGTGATCACTTTAAATGTTAATATTTCTTGGAGGAGGGCAGAGAAGTTGTTTGATTTACAGCTAGAGCTGGGCAAATAACTGGCTTTTCAGTTCTCTGGGCTATAGAATCGTTCTCACTCTCTCTGGCCCGGTGGCTAGTCACGTATTTTATACAAAGTGGAACAGCTTCAACAGGAGAGACTGAGAAAGACCCGACCCAGAATACCCTATGGTCCAATGAGTAGGGCACTCCCTAGTGAGTGTCTTAGCCACAGGACGATAGGTATTAAGGAGGCACCACCATCATCTTCTTCTCCTCCTCTCCCTCGCCCCTCTCCTCTGGCTGTGTTACGAATGGAGCCTAAGTCCCAAACATATTTTTTGGCCAAAGCTTTTTGGTGACATCATGTCACATTCACGAATATTTTCAGGTCGACCAAAACTGCATTTTCAGCAAACAAACTATTAGTCAAAATAACGTCACCCAGCTCTATTTTCAGCCTCTTTATGGGTCTGATCTTGTGACCTTTGACGTCAATGGGAGCATTGCCAATGACCCTTAAACACACAACAGGAGCTGAGGAGGGGACCCAAGGATAGGGGCAAAGCCATGTGTGATGAAGAGATAATCCTGGTCCAGAAAACAATGATGATTTTGGCTCTTTCTATCCCATGATGAAAGCATTTCGACATAAAGTAAGTGCAGACTTGCAATAGAATTCAAAAGGTTCTAGAGACAGGTCCACAAAGCCCAGAATGAATGTTTAACCTCTCGCATACCTTGGGTCTATTCAGTCTTTTCGGAAGGCAAGCATCATGTTGTTTACTCTTTTTTTAATAAAGGTAAAAGAGAGCTGTTGACCATGCATTTTGCTGTGGTAATATTTAAAAAAAGAAGGTGACATACCAAAGGGAAGGGAATACAGCAGAGCTGTAATACTAAAGAGTATCTGTTACTGTGGGTACATACATTGAGGGAGGTTTTCAAAGCCCTAATGGGATTTGAGCACTCAGCTCCCATTGACAATGGTCGCGGCTGGAGATGGGATGTTGGACAGGGAGGGGCAGGGCTCTGAGGTGGCACCGAGCATTCTTTCTCTCTCTCAGGTGCTTGGCTGGCTGGTTCTTGCTCACATGCACAGGGTCTAGCTCAGGGGTCGGCAACCTTTCAGAAGTGGTGTGCCGAGTCTTCATTTATTCACTCTGATAAGATTTCACGTGCCAGTAATACATGTTAACGTTTTTAGAAGGTCTCTTTCTATAAGTCTATAATATATAACTAAACTATTGTTGTATGTAAAGTAAATAAGATTTTAAAAATGTTTAAGAAGCTTCATTTAAAATTAAATTAAAATGCAGAGCCCCCCGGACTGGTGGCCAGAACCCAGGCAGTGTGAGTGTCACTGAAAATCAGCTCGCGTGCCATAGGTTGCCTACCCCTGGTCTAGCTGATCACCCTACGTGGGGCTGAGAAGGATTTTCCCCCACATCAGATTGGCAGTGACCTTGGGGGTTTTGACCTTCCTCTGCTGAGTCTGGGTGCGGGTCACTTGCCAGGATAATCTGGGTATACTTCACTTAATCATTTCCCTGCCATTGTGGGGGCCTCGGGCATTGGTGCCCCTCCTATTCTCCCCATGACACATAATGGTTAAGTCTCCTGTGGGCTGTAACACTTCAGTCTCATTTCAGTTGTTGGGTTTGGTGTGCGGATGCTGGTGGGTGTTGGTGGCCTGTGATAGACAGGAGCTCAGACAAGATGATGTGGCGGTCCCTTCTGGCCTTCAACTCTCTGACTTTCAGTGGGCGCTGGGCACCCAACTCCCCTTTGTCCTTGAGAAAATCTCTCTCTTTCTTCCAGTAGCGCAGCTATTAATCTAACACAGACAGCGAATCACTCCATTTCTCTTCATTCTGATCAGCCCCATTCCTATAGCTGGCACTTTGGTAGTGAACAGGGGTGTTTTCAACCAAAGTCCCTGTTTAGATTCCTTGGGACTGTGTGGGTGTGTCACTGGGGTTGCAAAAAAAGCAACACCACCACCAAAAAACCAGCTATAGAAATGGAACGTGAAATCTTGACCCCTCTCAAGTCAGTGGTTGTTTAGCTACTGACATCACTGGACCAGGAATACATCCAGGCTCTTGGTTTAATTTCAGCAAGCCAGGACATCTCTCTAACCCTAGACGGGATTCAGAGGGATAGAGCCCTGTGGTAGCTCTTCCATCAATTGCCAAACTTCACACCAAAAGCCTCTCACAGTCATTTTTAAATGGAGCAGCAGGGCGGCAGCACACAATATGGCCCATCACACAATATGGCCCATCCTTGGGCCCTTCCAGAGCCCTTTGCAGCAGGTTAGCTATGCTGCCAAAGGCAGGAAGAGGTTAAAAGCCATGATTTTTCTTTTTTCTCTAATCTTCTGACTTGTGGTTTGTCTGTTATTGAAGGAAACAAGAGTGTGTGTGTGTGAGAGAGAGAGAGAGAACGAACTCATGTTTCCTTACTTAGCTGACATTGTAGGTGTGGTAGTTTAATGCTAGCATATGTTCTTATTAGCTAGCACGTTATTGTCTAAATACAGGTTTTTGTACCTAATAAAGTTGTTAATCTACCTTAATCCTAGTATAGATCTATGTGGTGGCACCATTTTGCAACATACTAATTTGCTCCTCTAACCTTTCTCATCCAAAACTCTTATTAAAGCCAATTGGTACATCATTCAGGCCCAAGGTCATAGCTTGTCATTTAATTTCATGTTATTCTTTCTAAGGGCATTACACAGCTTTCCTCTGTCTCTGATCCATTCTATGTTCTTGGGCACTATGGGATTGTGGACTATCATTAATACTCTGAGGCAGCTCTTTTTCACCTCCAGATTTCCTAATATGTGCAGATCTGGGATGCATAGAGCTCTGATCCCAGCTGCTGTGTGGGCTCTAATCTCCTCCCTATGAGGACCTCTTGGGAAAAACATGGGAGAGTGAAGGGTAACTTACAGTTTCCTCTGCTTGCACAGCTTCTTTTCCCGTTTAGTAGCTGGAAGAAGATCATCAAAATGGGTGAGGAATTAGGAATTCAAGTGCAGAAAGAAGACAAAAAACTTGACAACATGAGCTAACAAGAATTTAGACACCAAGAGGAACTGGAGAACAGCAGCTCTGAAAGAATTTCAACTAGTGCCTCCATCAAACCTGCAGCCAGGACCAGGAAAGAGCTCTGGACTAATGCGGATGTCCTGTTGGCCAACTGAGGGATGTTTTAACAACATCTGGAGGATCGGAACCAGGATCAGTCAAATTAATCCCTGGTCCAACAGCATGGAATGCAGTTTAGCCCAGCCTTGTAAGTCTGTGCCCAGCAAGCCGCTCAGTAGCAAACCTTAGAGCATTACTGTCAGCGGCATTCTCCAAGGGTCTGCTCCTTCGTGCAGCTGAGCAGTCTCCATTCCCGATGACTTGCGTAAGAGGTGAGGGCACTCGGCATCTTGCAGCAGATGCTGAACACCTCACTTCTTAGGTACTCTGCTGGCCCTCATTACTGTAGGGTCTGAGCACCTCACAACCTTTCCTTTACTGTCCCTGTAGATCGGGCAGTGCTATTATCCCCATTTTACAGACGGCGAACTGAGGCCCAGAGAGACTAAGGGCCAGATTTTGAAAGTATTTAGGCCCCCAGTGGAATTTTCAAAAGAACTTCGGCACTTAACTCCCCTTGAAACAATGGGAGTTAGGTGCTTTCGAAAACCCCACTAGGCACCTCTCTGTATCTTTAAGCATGTAAATAATGTTAACAACCTGTCCTTAAGTGCCATGCCCAAGGTCACACAGGAAGCCTGTGCAACAGCAGGAAATCAAACCCTAGGCTATCTCCCTGACCAGTAGACCATCCTTCCTCTCACAGGATCAGCTGTAAGCTGGGCAAGGGACACTTCTCCAAATTTAGTACCACTGCTGCTTTGGGTTTTTCTCGCTCTAGAGCATGGGGTCAAACTCATCCTTTGTACAAATCCAATGAACTGAGTGGAATTCCACGAAGGATGAATTTGACCCATGGTTTCCTTTAAGGAGTCATTCCATCTCAGACAACAGGTAGGTATGCAAGCTCTGACCTTCGGGTGGGAGGTGAGGGTCCCCATATCCCATTGTCCTACATGATCACAATGGCCAGACAGGTGGATGCCAGTAGCAGAAGAAAGATCAGTAATGCCAGACTTTGCTTTGAAACCATTGGCACCATGCTTAGCATAGAGCGCCTCCTGTCTGCGACCTCTTGGAATGACACTCTGGGCCAAATCAGTGCAACTTCATTAAACTGCTGCAAAACACAATCAAAGCGCGGCCAAAACCCACCCATGATTACTCTGTAGCAGGAGCCCACTCTGGCACTAATTACCAACATCTCCTAGTCAAACCAGCCTGGGGAGATCCTTTATAGCTCCGCACCACCGCAAGACAATGGATGAAACACATCCCCGGAGAATCTCCATGGCCTCGGAGATGGATTTGCCCCATTGCGCGCAGGTGCTGAACTGAGAGATGAAGCGGCAGAACAGAGATTCAGGTGGGAGATGGGATACTGAATGCGAGGGCTCTAGGCCACTTCGGAGATACATGCTCCCTCCCCGCATTAGAAGGCAGATGATAATGAATCACAGAGTTGTAAAGGTCAGAGATGGCAATGCTCTACTAGATCATCGAGTCCACAGCCCCTGCCAAAGGGGGAGTTGGCTAGGAAGGGAAAGTTTTAATCTCAGTGTAAACTTTATTCCTGAGCTAAACTCCACTGACCAGCCACCACCAATGAAATGCCAGCCAGTCGGCGCTCTGCCTGATGTAGATCCTTTGCTGGAGGAGAACAGAGACAGAGTCAGGTCCGGCAGCCTGGCTGCTTGTGACTATTGAGCCGTATTGCTGCTGTGGTCGCATTCTTTTGCATAAGGCCCGCTCAGCGACAGAGCAGGGCAAGTATGCTTGGCAAGGCTCCCTTGATGTACTGCAGGACTGTGAGCCTGTCATCACGGGTCCCAGGCACACACAGAACGTCTCCATTTCAAAATAAGACTTCTTGAGTGTCTTGCTTTCCTAGTGAACCAGCCACAGTGAAGTGCTTTTTGATTTCTCCCCATCCCCAAGGCTTTGAAGCTTTTCCTTCTACATCCTACAGTCAGCTGCACTGACTGGGGTGGAGAGGGAACCCCGGACTCTCCTGCTGTCTCTCTCCCTGGGTAAGAAGCCAGGGATTACAACTCCTTGATCAATGGTTCCTTGCCTCTGATCCCACTGGCCCCTAGACAGCACAACTCCTGAAGGGGCTGTGCCACCAGGGGCTGCCCCTACAACCACCCCTGAAAGCTTCCACAGCACGGATGAGTAAAAGTCGCAAGCCCACACGCAGGCTGTATTAACTTTCCCTGGTTACATATGGCAGGGGTTAGAATCTGGAGGGGTTCAGGCAGGTCCCCACCATCCATCTTCCTCCCTACTCCATTCCAGCTCTACAGAGCCCTAGCTCTGTGTAGGGGATTGCACTGGGTGAAGGGGGAAGACGGGTGCAAGCCGCACAGGTGGGCACTGCCTGCAGGCACCAGCTTCCCGCCAGCCACCATTTCAGTAGCAGGAGTTGCATGCGAAAAGCAGTACTCGCCATGCACACGGCAGGGTCGGGGCAAGTGACTCCCTCGAGGACTTTGTGTATCAGAGGAGAATTGGCAGCAGGCGCTCACGCTGCACAGAGTGCGGGTGGCAGATAGTTAATGCCTAGATCTAGCCTTCCTGCATATGCCCAGGAGAGAAACGCGAGCCCAGGCACCTGCTTTGGGACATCAGACTCAGCTTGATTCTGGCGAGGATCATATCTGCAATGCTGAATGGCAGCAAAACCTTTATGCTCAGGCAAACCACCCATTACAGTTAACTCCTGAGTAGGAGAGCAGGCACCATGCCCAGCCCACACTGGGACTGCAGGGAGGTACGTAGCTGTCTGGCATAGGCGAGCAGACTGAGCAATGCAGGATTTCCTCATGCTGAAGATGCCCCTGATTCAAGGCGGGAGGAGAAAGTCTTACCAGAACGCTGACACTTCATGCACATGCTCACAAGAGCCCCCAGCAGCATCAGTGAGGCCGCAGCCCAGAACAGCTCCACTTGGCTCATTGCTCCGCTGAGGTCCGGCCTGAAACACACGCAGCAGAGGAGGAAAACATTAACCGAACCTGTCAGCGCTTGACAGCAGTGTCAGCCACATGCACGTCTGTGGCTGGGAGGGTTTAAGCACAAACAAGACCTATTTCATGCCTGCTCAACAAGTCTCACACAAGAGCCAAATACTTCCCTCCCTTCACCCACAAAGCCAAAAGTGCTTTTCAAAGGGGATCCAAGTATCATCATTAAGTTGTGTAGAAGTTGCTTTTTCTTATTCCCTTTTCCCTGATCTTTGTGGTTAGATTGTGAGGTCCTCAGAGCAGGGGCTCTCCTTAAGCATTTGGAAAGCATCTAGCACACAGTGGGTGCTACCTCAAGTCATTCAAAATAATCATCCTCCCCATTTTATAGATGGGGAAACTGAGGCACAGGGTGGGAAAGTGACTGGCCCAAGATCACCCAGGAGGTCAGTGACAGAGCCAGGAAGAGAAATGGGTTTCCTGACTCCCAAGGGAACTCCCAATCCACTAAGCCACACTGTCCCCAGCCCCATAATTTTATTAATTAAAAAACAACCAGGAGAGACAATGATGGAGGGCAGGTAGGGTTTCCTAGCAGGTGGGAAAGACCTACACATTAGGCCATCCAGTCCTTCCCCCTGTTACTGTAAGATTGTTCTCTGTGCTATATTCTCCAATATTTTTTCTGCATTTAAATGGCTCAAACCATGGGGCCTCCACTGCTCCTCCACCTCCTTAGCAGAGCGCCTCGACAACAATATTTCTCACTATTCCGCCTGGATTTTCTTTTGCTTGGATTTCAGCCGTAAAAATGTGAAGCGTTACATATCATTATCTAGGACTAGAGAAAACAGAAGGCCTGATTCTCCCCTGCCTTGACCTCTGTGAAGCGGGTGTAAAGTGCTACCAAATCAGAGTTCTCCACTCTCACCACTGGTTATCGTTTTACAGCCACTTTGCACAGGTGAAGGTTGGAAAAAACGCACCCAAGATGGCCCCATTACCACAGCATCCAAGCACTTCACAATCTTTAATGTATCCTCACAACCCTCTCTACTATCCCCGCTCTACAGATGGGGAACTGAGGCACAGAAAGATTAACTGAAGGCCTAACATCAGACAGGGGGGCTGTGGCAAAGAAGGAATTGAGCCCAAGTCACCTGTCTCCGTAAGCTAGGACTCTACCACTGGGCCATCCATGCTCTCATGGGAACCCTTGGGAACCAGGCCTTGGGTGAAGTTAAGGAAAGGACTGTCCAGTACTTCAGGCCGATGATCACCTGGAGACAATGATGCTTTCTCTCTCCCAGCAGCACCTGGATGTCAGAAAGAACAGTAGGAGCTGCAGCAGGGGTGCAAGGATTACTAGTAACCTCTCCCCATTAGAGCAGAGTTTATCGGCAGACAGTCTGCATTCAGCACACAGGTCCTGGCAAAGCCATCTGACTTCCCAAGCATGTACACAATGACTTTAAGGCCAGCATGTCATTACAGATGACAATATTAATCCATAGCAATTTGGAACCACTTGAATCCCTCTCAGCTCATCTAGGATTGGATTAAAGCTCCCTGAATTCACTATAAAAGCATCTTTCACTGACAGGTTCCACATCCCTCTCTCCACCTTGTCAGTTCTTTCCGCCTTCATAGAGAATGTTGTGACATTTACATGGGTACTGAAACGATTCTATGTCCGCAGTGTGTGGAAACCATTCCCGCCACATCTGCCTTCCGGGGTATGGACAGGCCCATGCTTTTTGTACATCTGTCCTACACACACGTATGCACAATGAAGGATAGCTTCCTGCAATCCCTTTTCCTAGGACTGACAAGGTGGGTGAGGTAATACCTTTTATTGAACCAACTTCTGTTGGTGAGAGAGACAAGCTTTTTCCCTAGGACTGCAAGTCATGGCTGGAGCTGGTGACTTTCTGGAAATTCTCCTAAGCAATACCCAAAGTTAGAGTAAAAACCAAGTCAGGGCTAGAAACCCTTATTCCTCAGGGCATAAGCAAATCACTAGCTCCTCGTGCTTAGGAAGAAACTTCTCATTTCATAATCATAGCTCACGCTTAGAACTGGGAGGTGCTAAGCACTCTGGCCGCTCATCAGCAAAGAACTTAAACACTCGCTTACTCTTATGTACATGAGTAGCCCAATGGCAGTGGCCAGAGAGGATCCTGGACTAATTTGACCATTAGTCTGATGCCACATTGCAGTTCCTAGGCATTTGAATACTCTTCTCACATTCTGTATTTCTCTATCTGTATGCACTCAGACAGAGAGAGAAAAAGAAGTCCCTCAGTTTTCTCCATGAGTGGTCCAAAGTATTCCATGTTACAGACTGCAGCCGTTCAGGCAATAATGGTAGAGTTTTAATTTTTTTTAAAATAAAGGTTCTACGTGACCCAGTTAAAATCTCTGCTCCCTGCAGTGGGCAGGGAGCTATTTAGGCTCAAAGGGTTGTGACTGTCCTTCGGCTAGGCCAGCATCTGCCCCCCCAGGAAGGAGTGGGGGTTGGGGTGTCTCAGGAACAGGATTTTAAATCAATAACTGCACTAGCTGGCTGTAAGAGGAACTGCAGGAGGAGAGCGCTCCCGCCACAGAACCAGCGCAAACACTGTTGTCCTCGCAGTATATCGTCTTCTCCTTCCACGGGAAGCCATAGCCCAGTGTCTCTTGTTGAGGTTTGTGCAGGAAACAGGCCTTGTGAGGAAACAGCTACTGTGAGCAATCAACTGCACTCTGCCGAAGCCCTGAGGACTCCCCCTTCTTTATACCCCCGGCCACAGCTGTCATTGTATTCAATTCCCTTCATTTGTGTGTGCATCCATGTAATTTCTAGATTATTCCTCTCTCTGTTTTACGGACTGCCATTGGCCACCCCAGAGGCGGCTGCATTGCTGCGGCGCTACAGGTACTTAGCCTGTGAAGTGCTTCAGGATGCGAGTTACTATAGCAGCATAAAATGTGATTATCAATGAGGCCTGCAGAGTACAATGAAACTTTTAGGTCCTGGTCCTACTGATTCAAAGTGGGGAAACTTCCCCTTGGCATGAAGTGGTGCAGGGTCAAGCCCTTGGTCTAAAAGTATTTTTGGTATTTACAAGGTTACAAGGGGGCAAAATTGATCCCCAGACAGGCTACTGCTATCAAAACTCAATGATTCCACCACAACAAAATGTTGAGAACAGCTTTTTCTTACAAGACACCCTCCCCGAATCCCTGAAATTTCCCACTTTTGCAGTGTCAGAAACTGTTTATGGACATAAAATCCTCTTGGAAAGCCGAGTCCCGAAATTCCAGCGACACTACATTCTGTTATAATTCAATCCAAGCCCAGATAGAGGCAATTTGCACTCCCGAAATAGGGGTGGAATTGGTCTAAAAAATAATGAAACACCCCAAATCAGAAAAAAAAAAAATGTTCCCAGCCCAGATAAATGCATTATAAAAGCCCACTGGATTGCCTGCAGCATGACCAGGTTCATGACTGTGCAAGGGTGGAAGGGTAGTCTGAGTCTTGGAATCTCCATGTCAAGCAGACGTCACATGAGCTGCTGGGAATGTGATCGTGAGGGAGCAAGTGCGTACGCTGACTGTCCGTCTGTCTGTAGCGCCTTAGCCCCAGAGTGCAGAGATGCTGAAACACGCAAGCCTCTCTCTCTTTAAAGATCTAGTGGAAGAAGTTGACAAAAGGATTTACGACCCGGCAGAGCGAGGCCGGTAACATTTGCTCAGTGTTTGAGGAAAAGAAACCAACGGGATGTCTTTTTGAAAGGCTGAACTCTTCCTTCTCCGGCTGTCTTTGGGAAACGGGTGAGGAGGATCAACATGCTCAAGCAGCCACGTTTTTGTCGGGGTTTCCAACACACCACAGTTCAGGGGATTTCAGAGCAGAGAGGGTTCTGGGGTGGGGTCATTTAGAAGATGAGGGCCATCTGCAAAATTCGAGTGTGGATAGAAAACAGGATTCCCTATCGTTTGGGGGCGGCTCAGCTCCTTCTCTAGGAGTAACACTCAGAGACAGCTCTGCAGGCTTGGCCCATTTTAAAAGTTTCTCAAGCTTCTCTTTGATTTGTCACATGTCCTCACACAAACCAGGAGACCCCTGTAAGAGTTAGGGAGCTGGAACCATTAATAGTCACTGCGTTCTAATGCTTAGATTTAAACATTGTAAGAGGCGGAGGAGGGCAAGCAACCATCTGTGAATCACACACTGCATGATAGTTTCTGGAAGAATGTCTTCCCATACATGCTTATTCCATTCAGAGCAGCAAGTAGTAGGGTGGATACACTACTAGTAGTTTCCATTCCATATCACCCCTGTGAGGATGAAGCATACATTCCAGAGCAGGGCACCTACCTACAGCAGCCTGGGGACTCTCTTTTTTCAAATACAGGGTGTTCTGCCCAAACAAAGATGCTCATTTTAATGGAGATGAAATAGGGAAGTTTTCAAGTGTCCCTCAGTCTATACCAGCTAGGGCCTGTGATCTGGGCTGCTCTGGTTAAAGGCGTCTCAGCAGTTGGACGTTACGACCTGATCCTATAGTTAGGTCCAAGCAGAGAACTGTGAAATCATTCGGGTTTCCAACCCTCCGGGATTGTCCTGGAGTCTCCAGGAAGTAAAGATTAATCTTTAATTAAAGATTGTGTCATGTGATGAAAATTCCAGGAATACGTTCAACCAAAATTGGCAACCCTAGAAATCATTATAGTGAAGCCAGCAGGGCTCTGTGAAGGCACCATATTTGTCCTGATGGCAAGATAAGGGCTGAAATTGATACCCGAGGGGGTTTATAAATCTCATCTATAAAATACAGGCTTCTGTCTGAGAGGCTGGTGTAAGTAGAGGGTCATCCACGCCCTTCCCCCCCCCCCACACCACCATTTTAGATTATGGTTATGAAAGCCACTTAAATTAATGGAGATATTCTATCTCCTAGAACTGGAAGGGACCTTGAAAGGTCATTGAGTCCAGCCCCTGCCTTCACTAGCAGGACCAAGTACTGATTTTGCCCCAGACCCCTAAGTGGCCCCCTCAAGGATTGAACTCACAACCCTGGGTTTAGCAGGCCAATGCTCAAACCACTGAGCTATCCCTCCCCCCTAGTACAACCCACACTGCTTTTAAATAAAATGTGAAGAATTAAGATGGTTTGGTGATTTGCTGGAGTAAAAAATCAAATGGTTGGCTGATTGAAAAGCTTCCCTCCAGGAATTATAGCACGCATACTAAGGCTACGTCTAACACGAGGGGCACTTTATTGGTACAGGAGTTCCAGTATACTACCACGGCAAAGCGCTTCTTGTGTGGATGCAGCTATGCCAACAGAACCGTGCTTTGTACTGATATAGTAAAATCACCCCTCCCCCTGCGAGAAATACACTGCACTAGTAAAAGCACTGTTTTGATGGTGTAACTGTCTATGCCTGGGACTTCTGCCAGCACCGCTCTGTTGGTCGCGGATCCCCCCTGACTGACAGCTATGCTGGCAGCAGCCTGTAGCATAGACAAATCCTTGCTAAACAGATGCAGTACTCATGCCAACTCAGTAGCTTCTAATAATTCCAGAGAAAGACCCTTCCCTTTTGCCCTCATCTATGCTAGCTATTTCCCCAGAAATTCAAACTGATTTTAAAAACTGTCAAAGGCCTAGGATAGGCCAGGCTCCAGCGACTGCAACTGTTTTTATAACCCGTTTATAGTTGAGCCTTCAAAACCAGTTACAGAAAGCGATCGGGCTGCCAGAACTTCGTCCACACCAGTTCCAATCAGTTTGAGTTTGGGGGAAAGTCTCAGCAGCAAAGATAAGGCCTTCGTGTGTATTTGTGCAGCACCCGACACAACGGGGCCCCGATCCTGACTGACACCTCTGGGCACTACTGACACAAACAGCAACACTGTCAAGGAAAACAGACTAAATTCAGCTCACAGTTCCCAAACGGAAACCAAAGGAGTTGCAGCCACTTAAACTAGAGCTGCATTTTGCTCACGTGTTTTCCAGATAGCCCTGGACAGATGTTCAAGTAGACACAACATTTGTATTTTGTGCCAAGAGAGGAGTGGATGCATGTTAGCTGTAGATGGAACAATAAAGATAAATAGTCCCTTCCAACTCTCCATTTTTATGATTCTATAAACATTTGATTTGGTAAATTATTACTTTCACAGAGATTTTTATCTAACGGATTCTGATGGATTGCATGACAATCATGCGATTTGCTGTTTTGTTTGGTGTTTTTAAGTAGGCAACCACATACACATCCCCCAATCCACCCAAGCTACCTCCTTCTGGAAAAAGTGTTGCCTGGATCGACACGTATTTCAAAGGGTATAAATAAATAAATAACCAGCTCCTGACACATTGCGTTCCATTTGGGTGTATGTTACATATGCCCACTGTAGTTCTCTCTCTCTCCGTAATCAATTCGGGTTAAACACAAGAGTTTAGTGCTTATATAGCCCTTTATATCCATACACCTTAGCTCATCCTACAAAGTTTATTTTGCACAAAAGCCTGAAATTGTAAACTTTGTAGAAATATACATGAAAACATCCTGCCTGAATTCATATGACGCTTTGTGTCCCCGCTGGAGCAGACAAAGGTATAAACAAGATCCAATGGCTGAAAGGTGAAGTTAGACAAAAAGGAAAAAAGGGGCAACTTTGTAACAGTGAGGTAATTATTCACGGTAGCAATTTACCGAGGGTTGTGACGAATTCTCTATCACTGGACATTTTAAAATCAAGATGTCATGTTTTTCTAAAAAATATGCTCTAGTGCAAGGAGGAATTCATCAAGGAAGTCCTAGGGCCTGTGTAATACAGGAGGTCAAAGCAGATGATCACAATGATCCCTTCTAGTTTTACATTCTGTTAATCTAACGTTTTGAGCATCAGGATTGAATTCAGAGCTAGGCAGAACAAAGAGGAGACAATGGTTCTTCATCTCAGACTTACAATGTCAAGGCCACAATCCTGCAATGTGCAGGTGACTCCTGGGACCATCACGATGCCCCATGAAAGTCAATGGGGAACCATCCTCTGCCCACTTAGATCCCATTGCAGGATCAGGGCTAAGGGGCCTGATCCTGAAAGCAACTGATGGCTGAGGAGTGTTTGCTGTTGTTTAGCCCCACTGAAGTCGGTGGGAGTAAGCACTGTGCTGGTAGTAAGTGTTTGCAAAGTGGTTTCAAAGCATTAGAACAATTTCCCCAAAAGGAACTCAGCACTGTATGTCAAATACATATTGTGGCTGTCAGAGTCGTGGAATGGTTCAAGCAAGAATAAAATGACATAGCAAAGGAGAGAGCTAGAGCAGATGCAGAACCTTCATAGAAAGAGTTAAAGAAGGAATCAGATAGCAGGTGAAATAAAACAGAATGACAAAGAGCCTCCAGTTATGAACTAGTTAATCCCTTAGCATCTTGTAAAGTGCTTTGACAGCCTCAGAAGATGCTAAGGAAAAGTCTATCACCTTCTGCATTGGAGATTGCACACTTACATAAGAAAATATCTGATAACTACCCATTACTTGTCAAGACACAGGCGACGCTGAAGCCATGCTGTATGGTTAGTCATCACCACAGCTCCTGGGTGGGACTGGCTATTCAGAATGGCAATATAAGCATGTATATGGAATAAAATACTTCTATCAACTTTTCTGAGACAGAGAATGTGTCACAAAATTCTCTAATTATCCCAGATTTTGCTAACCCCCCTGGGGCATAGCTCAATGAACCTAGATCTCAAGAACACTTTACACCTGTCCTGATCTTAAGAACAACGTGGCACGAAGAGGGTTTTATTTTTTTCTAACCAGAACTGGTAGATATTTCAAGGCATCTGTATGTGGGAAAATTCAAACACACACAAGCCATGAAACAGGAGGAAACCCCAGAAAGTGTAATTACAGCTCAGACTTTTCATAGGGCTGGACTTCTGGAGGGAAAACATGGCAAACAGCTGGAGCCCTGAAGTCGGGAGTCGTACGCAGAAAGCTACGGTCCGATTGCTGGAGAAGGCAGCTAGATAAGCCTAGCATATAATTTATACACAGGAACCCGCAAAACCTAGGGCTCACTGCAGATTTCATATTATAAAGGTGTAATATAAAGGGCAGAATAAAAATAATCAGCCAGGATCAATCAGCAGGAAGATAGGGAGGGGATGTGAAGCCACTTTTACAGTCTGACCCAAACGCAGTGGAAGGAGCCGGTAGGATTCTAATGGCCTTTGGAGCAGGCTCTTCGTGTGAGTAAAATGCTGCTGGGGGAAATATATTTTGGTACCTTCTTCGCATGGTGGGGCCCCATCAGCTAATTTATGTACGTTCCACCGGTACCCCCACCACAAAGAGCCACACACAACAGAGGGACAGTAGCCTAGCTGCAGTCCTTCTTGACAGGGATAAGTCAAAGCTCCAAGTGCCCTCCCAAAGTCATTGCTGAATTAGGGCCTGATCCAAAGCTCATTGAAGTCAATGGGAAGACTCCCACCGACTCCAGTGGACTTTGGAGCAGACTTTACCCACTCCCAGCCAAACCCCCTTCCCTACCCATCTCACCTGTTGCATCAGCCAGTTCTTTGCAGCTTCCCCATTCTCCTCTATCTCCCCTCACGGAAGCAACCAGCAATACTGGAACAGGTTCCTCATGGGGACTGTAAGCAGGTCTCTGGTTTCCTGTCACCATCTGAATCACTAAACCCGACATCCGTTCTGTGCTGGACAACCCCCTTTGGCTGATGAAGAAATCAACACACAATTTGACACACACTCATCTCAGCTGGCTCTCACTCAAACACTTCATTTTGTGTTCGTTGGGCGGGGGGAAGAGACTCAACAAACCACACTAAATACACCTATTGGCAGAGCTTGTTTCTACACTGAAATAGTGCTGCAAAAATTGTCTTTTGCCCCTAAACAAATCAGTGCCGGCAAGTTATTTCTCCTTGGTCAGCAAGTCAGTACCAGGAATTAATAGCTACACAATTCGTTACAATTGTTATTATTCGTATTACAAATAGCACTTAGAAGCCCCAGTTGAGTTCAGGGCCCCAGCCTGCTAGCTGCCGTTTACACACATAGGAAGAGACAGTCCTTGCCTCAAAGAGCCACCAGTCTAAACAGATGAGACAAAGGGCTTGGCTACACTTGTGAGTTACAGCGCAATAAAGGAGCCGGGGCACACTAGCTCACTCCCCGTCCACACTGGCAAGGCACGTAGAGCGCTCTGACTCCGCGGCTACAGCGCTCCTGGTTTCCACCTCGACGAGAGGAATAACGTTCGCTGCGCCTTGGCTACAACACCCGGGCGTCAGTGTGAACGAGGTGTTGCGTTACTGCGCTCTGATCGGCCTCCGGAAACATCCCATAATCCCCTTAAGTCAAGTGGCCACTCTTGTCATTGTTTTGAACTCCTGTAGGAATGCGGAAATGCCCGTTCAAAGCTCCGTTTCTGACAGCCGACATGCCAGCCGTTACTGGGAATGCTGTGTGTCAGAGAGAGAGAGAGGCGGGGAGGAGGGTGGGTCTGCTGCTGTCTAAACTTACAAGACAGCATGCTGACATGCTCTCAGCCCCCCAAAAACCCACTCTCTCCCCCCACATACACACAACACACTCCCTGTCATGCTCCACCCCCCCCATTTGAAAAGCACGTTGCAGTCACTTGCATGCTGGGATAGCTGCCCATAATGCACCGCTCCTAATGCCGCTGCAAGTGCCGCAAATGTGGCCATGCCCGTGCACTTGAAGCTGTCAGTGTGGCCAGACTGCAGCGCTTTCCCTATTGCGCTCTCCGAAGGCGGGTTTAACACAAAGCGCTCTACATCTGCAAGTGTAGCCATGCCCAAAGAGAGCACTGCCATCCCCATTTTACATATGGGTATACAGAGGCCCAGAACAATTAAGTGACCCAAGACCCAAATTGCAGTTCAGTGCCTTAACCACATCCCTCCTTTCCAGCTTCGGCAGCGCTTTCCAGATTGGAAGCCTGCAATTAGATCACGGTCATAGTTTATTCCATTGAACTTTTCTACAATGCTCGAGGAATTTTTTTTTTTTTTTTTTTTTGGAAGATTGCCATTAAGCAGAAATTCTATGTGGAAGGACTTATGAACCCTCTCGGCAGGGTTACTGGCTCAATTTTTCCATAGAAGCACATTTTCATGTTTCAGGAACAAAGTGTGTGTATAAATATACACACACACACACACACACACACACTAAACATACACCCATCCACACACATTTAAGAAATACAATTAATAAGAAATCTATTGGATATACCATGTTGTAAAGCACCTTCCATTGATGTACAATATCTCCCAAATATGCAATTGTGTTTGTATTGTATGTGCTTTAATATTTTCACACCTACCGGATGTTTTTCAGCAGAGGGAGGGGTTTATTAAGCAGGACACTGAACAGTGATGGCATGCAGTATCTGTCGTAACAACCTGGGATTTGTGCACACGTTCAGCAGAGGGTGGCATTTTTCAATCACAATGCCTTATTGAAACAGCTCCCCAATTTTGGGTCAGGAACGCCGTTAGCCAGGTTAACATCAGAAAAAATAGAACTACATTAGCAAATATACGTGTATGAACATATGCAAATATATTTAAGCCTATACAGAACTCTGATCTTGGGCCGAAAAGTAGTTTTTTCCCCACGTATCTTTCAAAATAGCTACTGTGTAAAATCCAGATTTGTGGAAGGCCACACTGGAAGCAGCATGCATGTTCGTAGATAACGCGCCCTAGGAGCAGGGCAAGGAATGGAGCATTGGTCTGCTTATTTGATTATGCTGCATTTTATTAAGGGGATGGTTCTGTGACGCTTCCCAAGGGTACCCAGGAGCACCTCACTACCACCCACCCGTAGCGTGAGGGAGCCTTATCTGTGCCTGCCACGGCTCAACTCCCTGACTCTCCCAGCCACAGGCAGCACAAATCTTCCCCTCTCAGCCCATCCCTCATACAGGTTAGTGATAGACATACTCCAACTCCAGCGTCCTCCCCGCAGCCCCCTGCAGCGTCCACCTCCCGTTCCACTAAATACCCACAGAACGACCAGACCCGCTGTTCCCAAGGGAACAATCACGGCAGCTTAGATACACCTTAGAACACAGCTTCACTTAACACACCGTGCTTAGATTTGTGTGCAGAGAAAGCAAGGATACGTTTATTTAACAAAGAACAGAGATTCATAGGATAGCAAACAAATATTGGAAAACGGTGTTACATAGAAAATCAAATCATAACATGCATTCTAGTGCCTAAACTTGACTAACAAGATGCCCCCTCTTGTCTAATAAGATACTGCTTACCCGAAGTCCTTCTCACAGCATTTTTCAACCAGGATGGCTGATATCCTGTTTCATAAGGTAAAGCCTGCCGGGAGCTTGTCTTCACAGAAGGATGCCCAGGTCTCGCTCTGCACCCCTAGTTATATTAGGCCAGTCCTTTGTTCTATAAAACAGAGTCCCTCCTCTGTTTACCTATTCCTTCTGAAACACCACAATCTCTTCATTAGCATTTGACTCACTATGCTAATAGACTTCTGTGTAAGGCCTTGGCTACACTCGGGAATTCACAGCGCTGCCAAAGCTGTATGTACTCCACCTCTCCAAGGGGAGTAGCTTGCAGCGCTGCAGGCTCTGATCACACTGGCGCTTTACAGCGCTGCACTCGGGGGGGAGGGGGGAGAGGGCGTTTTCACACCCCTGAGCACAGCAAGTTGCAGCGCTGTACAGCACCAGTGTAGCCAAGGCCTAAGACACACAATGGTCAGCTAGGGAGATAAGCATCTCACCTTCTGTCTGGGGGACTCTCCAGGCACACTACGGGTCACCTGCCTTTAACTACAAGGCCTTAAAAACCATAATTTCCAATATATCTACAGATCTCCTTACATATAATCCACACATACCTTGAGCAAAGGTTATGATGATCAGTGTGACACAAGCTTTCAGAAAACTTCAATACCAAACCTAGGGATCCCTGGGACCCTTATGCACCCCTGTGGACTCTGCTTGGTGGCATTAAGAGGTCACTAGTCACAGATACTAAATGAGGTTATTTACCCTAGTGCATAATTTTGGATATGGTTTTGAGTAATAGAACTTTGAATGGGTTTTTTTTCCAAAATAAAATAAGGATTTTAATCAGAGCTCTTAGCTATCAATCAGTTTCTTAGGGGTTTTCCAGAGATTTTTCTGAAAAATCTACTAGAATATTAGCTGTGCATAGCTATTTAATCTTAAATTACAACCTATTCTAGTCCCCATTATTACAGGCCTAGTAAACACTGCATGGAGGGAAGTGAAGAAGTTATTTTACAAGTGTAGTCACCACAATAGCTGTATGTTCTATAATTAGACTGAAGATCATGGCTGGTTTTCTGTCTTCTTCAATATTAAAAGCAGAAGTGTTTAATTCCATTTGCGGTTCCATTCACATTATGATTGTATGTGACAAGGATACAGTAGGCATACAGACAGTTCTCCAATTTAGAGATGACTTTTTATTTCTTTATTTTTGGTGGTTGGCATACCCCTGTGGTAATGATATAGGTGTACTTTATACCAGCATCCCCATTTTCTGCTAGTTTTCAGCTTATGTGGCCATTTTCACGTGGATAGCATAGGTTTGAAATGCCACTGCAATGGAATGGCAGTGTTTTACAACCACACTGACCAGAAGTAAAGGACAACAGAAGGTGCCATGGTGGAACAGACACCTGCTGGATTCAAGTGGCATGCATTTCCCCCAGTGCTGCAGGTAGACTCTCTTTTCCCCTGCTACATTGCTTTTAGTTTTAGATATTGGGACACTTTCTTAATTTCTAACTAACTTAATTATTTCAACAGTAAGGTCAGGTATAAAAGCAAACTATTTACCAAACATGACAGCTGCGCCCAAGAGGCTAGTTTGCACAGTTGGCAAGTTCCAAGATACTGGCTCCTCTAAGCGTTTAGCTACTTCTAGCCATCTCGACTTTGACTTGCAAAGAACGCAGGTGCCTTTAAAAGGGACTGAAAATGAGGAGACGGCCTAGCTGCAACAAGGGAATAAGAAAGATGAGGCCTTGGCTTGTTCAAGAGTCCTACTCATCAGAACAGAGCACATACACAAAGCAGCAGACAAGCTAGCCGAATACTCTGGTCTTTGCAAGCCAGAAGCTTTGGGGAGGGCTGGCAGCCTTCTTCCTGCCTGAGAGGAAGTTGGTGAATGGTTATTCTCTGTTGATATTTGAGGCTGCAAGACCAGTTTTCTCACACACACACACACACACACACACACACACACACAAATCCAGTGTCCCACTGATTTGAGCTGCTGGTACAAAGGACGGCTGATTAAAAGTCAGTGGTAGAGGCTCCCGCTGCCACCAACTGCAATAAATTACTCAAGCTACATCGACACTCGAAGCTAAGGGTGCAATTCTCAGCTCAAGTAAACCTACTCACGCTAGCTCTCAAGTCAAAAGCGGGTAGCCAACCACAGTAGAAAGGACGGCAGCGAGCAGTGGCACAGGCTGTACACACGGTATCCGGCTGGGTTTGTTCTCAGGGTGACTAGCCTGGGTTGCAGCTCGCCAGGGCCCATGCTACCGCAGCTACACTTGTTTTAGCAGGCGAGCT